GAACCCTCACCACCCTCCAGGCCTTCTGCAAAGCCCTTAAAACCTGGCTGTTCTGACAGGCTTAGGGCTAATGAGCTTTTGTCCCCCCTCGAATGGTATGGTTGTTGTGTGCTTTTAAATTGTATATTGTTCTGTTCGGCTTTTTTATTCCTTATTTGTACCCCCCCCCTTGACTTGGATTGTGAGCTGCCCTGAGTCCCCTTTGGGGAAAAGGGCAGCATAGAAATATAATAAATTCAATTCAATTCAATACCATTTGCCTATGTCAGTTTCAATCTATAATACTTCATGGAAAATTAGGAGCCTGGGAAATACCTGGCAGGACACCAATACTTTTGACCACAACTATATATCTAAAATTGGTCTATTTAGAAAATTCAAAAAATGTACAATATAAAGTCCACCTGCAAATAAGTTAAGATCTTCTGTTTAAGCTTCCTACAAAAAGACTCAGCATTTAATTATGCAAATAGGTATATACAAACATATTTACCATAGCAGCATACAGATCACACCATCCAGTTTCACACTAGCAACAATAAATCCAACTCCATGTTATCCAGGAACTTGCATATAGAAGCTTCAGAAATTTTATATAGCTAGAGAAGTTTCACAGACTATATAATTTAGAGATGTCACTTCAACTTTAGACCTTACATATTTTAGGATTTATATCTGAATAACTAATATGTCAAATACCAGGTAAATTATTTGAGAACAAGAAATATAAAATGGCCAACTCTAAACTTTGCACATAGATGTTATCCATAAAGCAGAGTGATTGAGGAAATCACTTCTGAAGAGTGACTTCATGGTGATTAAACTTAGATTGTGTTTTCAATCGAGAAGGGTGGCAAATGAATTTAATAAATAAATGCTGTACCAAGCCATGATTTTCTCAAGCATAGCTTGTTGGATTCCTTTCCAAGATGACTGCCACATAGTAAAGGCTCCCCCCCCCCCTTTTCTGCTGATTTTGCTACCAAAGCTGGTTCTCTAGCAGTGCTGTTCCCTGGATTTGAATGGGAGCACTTAGGAATGACCCAAGATGGCTTTCGGAAGGCAATGGACTCATGTGGGAAATGGAAAAGATTTCAGTTCCCTGTGGGAGCAGTTGGGAAAGTCACTGGTAATCCATTTTCTCAGCAGTTTTTTTTTTCTTAAGGGTATTACTTCATTTTTTGAATCTTCTGGTTTACTTTGCTTTTTTATCTTTAAAGACTGTTTGGTTAGTTGAATACTGATTTATTTGAACCACCTACTGGACTCTAGCTGTCCCTCCCACCCTTTATGAATAACTTTCAGTGCTCTCTAAGAAAACAAAGCATGTTTTTAGATGGTGAAAGTGATTTTGTTTCATTTATGTTAATTTTAATTTTAAAACTAATATATTAGTTTCATTTATATTAATTGGACACATCACTACAGGGTTTTTGCATTTTATAAATTTATATATTTTTTCTTTTAATCTTGGATCAAAATATCCAGAAAATATTTATCCTGTCTTTGTTAAATTTATTTCTTCACTTTGCTTCAGTGTTCTTTGTTTTCTGGCTAAGTTTCACAGATCAACAATGCATCAGATTATGGATAATTGGGGGGGGGATATATAAAACAAACAAACAATTTTTAACATGCAATTTTTAGTTGAAAGCTTTTTTAAAAAGTCTGATGAAATGATAATGGCTATGGAAAATATTCAGATGTATGTAGCTCTGGATAAATTAAGACTCACAAAAGGAATGTGATTTGGAAATTGTAGACCTGTTGGAAACAACAATGGACTATGCAGATCTAGAAGTAACCGAGTTGATTGCATACCCCTCTTGAAATTCAAGGCTGCATTCTTTTACAATAGCAGAAGCCTGATTAAATGGAGAAGTGATAAATTAGTTTTCTCTAGGAAGATTTAAGGAGATTTGGGGAATGGATTTATCACACCTAATCAAAAATCAACTCTTGGAATGATTTGGGAAAAGATAGGATGCTGTGGTAAATTTGCTATAAATTGATTACAATAACAGTTTGTTAACAGAGGGTTTCAAAACTTTAACCATGCGTTTTTTTAATTATTATTGTTCTTTATGTTAACTATTTTGCCATTAATATAGTATATATGACAGGTCAAGAATTTACAAATAGATTTAATAGTTTAAAAAATTTGGGGGCTGTTTAGCAGGCGGTAGAAATAATATTGTAGCAATGTATTAATCAGTATACAAGGGGGGTAATATGTGTATAGATATTAGAGTTTTTAAATGCATTTTTTCAATGTTTTCCTTTTTTCTCTCTAAATTTTTGGAGTTTTGTATGTTAGCTTTCTTCAAATAAAATCAAAATAGAAAGAAAAAAACAACATAACTTGTTGACTAAATCACAATTGACTGGTTTCACAATATAACAAACTATATTCTACACACACACACACACACACACACACAGACACACAGACACACTACAAATCAAAAGAAATCACATTATGAATTAATATGGTATCTGAACCTAGATATATTTTTACTGTACAGTCAATAGTAAAACATTTATAGAAATATAGAACAGCAGAAAGCATAAAATAATAATTTAAACATAGAAATAACTTTCTGTCTTTCTACATCCAAATAGTCAAATGATGCACTTAAGGAAAAAAAAGTTCATTTTACCCAAACAGAGTGCATAGTGGAAGCATAATCAGAGAATGAATGATCTACAATCAACAATCCCCAGTGTCTATACCCCGAGTTTTTATATGATTAAACCTGGCATAGTTAAAAGGACAGTGCTTTAGAAAATATGTCAGATATTAAAAGCAGCATTAAACTTTAACTTTTTAATCTTAAACAGTTCAAACATTGTTTATTTTGGAAGGCTCACATGATTGTTTCAGAGAGCATGCCTGAATTCATGGTTGCTTTAAAAGTTTAAGGAGTAGGCCATAAAATGAAGGATGTTAAACTACATGTATTATACTTTGGCCAATAACTACAATCTATATTTATAATTTAAAAACTGCAGTCTGCTCCTTCACCCATTTAAAAGAAATACAATCTCATTGTAAGCAATAGAATTTATTTCTGGATAAATATGCAAAAAATATTTCAAAATATATCTATCTTTCCTCAACACACAAAGTACTGCTCATATAGTATATATGAAGCAGCAACTGCTAAAGCAAAATACATTAAGAGCATAGCTCAGATTCAAATTACTTTTTTCCTCTTGAAAAAATCATAATCAATATAAACAAAGAAACAACATAAAAATATAAACAAAATACAGAGATTGGGACAAAAAATGATGTCAAATGTTAAATAGGCAGCATACCTAAATAAACACTGGATTCAGTAGCTCCTCGAGCAGCTTCCACAAGATCTTCTTCATCCTCTAAGATATTATTATTAGAGGTATAGCTTGTGTCATCAAAGAGACTGATTGGAATTACTTTGCCATCTTTCACCAACCAAGCAGAAGCAACTGGAGTGCAAAACTGAAAATAAAATAAACCATTATTTAAAAAAATACATCCAATAAATGTGACACTCAATAGCTTTTAATGCATACGTTTTTACAAATACATGGGACATTTTATACATAAGATAATTGTTTTAAAAAGTTTAAATTCCACAATACTAAAAGAAAATGAAAAATGTTTTGGTAACATTATGATATTTCTAAACAGCATTAACATATTTCCCATCTTTAGTACCTGATATTCCCATTCCAGATGTCCTTCCTTCTTATTAAATGCCATAACCTTCCAGTCAGCTACTGAAACCTTTATCACTGTATCCTTCATTGTAGCTTCCTGTTCTTCTACTTCCGAAATAATTTTAGAATCTTCTTTGTTAATATTTGATTTCATATTCCCTTCAAGAAATCCTACCCTTGTTTCAGTCTCCGGGAGATAACGTAGTTCAAAATGACCAACGCTAAAATTCCACCTTTAAAAAAAGGGTAAGACTGTGATTCCATATCAGTTCTATCTTTATAAATGTCATACTGTTTCTGAAATAATCTACCCTAACATTCAGAAACGTAGTAAAACTAGTTTGGCATAACTAATCTCCAATGTACTACTATTTACTAAAAACTGAATTAAGGGAGAAAATCTATAAGCTTGATAAAAGAGAAAAGTGCCTCAACATCTGTCTTATCTTTGCATGATTTTTTTTTCCAGGAGGAAGCAATTATTGATTAAATTATTTCATTTGTTAATTATAAAACAAGAAAGTTATATCTTGATATATAAGTTAATATTCACTTCTTACATTTTATCTTTACAGTAATTTCCAACCTTTTGTCCTTTTGTATTTACATAAGACATCTAGATACATTCTAAAGTCTTTCAATTATTAAATGCTGTTGCTGTGATGGAAAGAAAATTGAGGGGAAAGTGATTATAATTTTTGCTAAATAATCTTCTCTAGCCTTAAAACAGGGGTGTCAAACTCAATTTCATTGAGAGCTGCATCAGGGTTATGTTTGTTCTTGAGGGGGGGGGGCATGGCCAATTCAGGGAACCTGTGGTGGCCTGGGCAGGGCCGGGGAGATCCACTGTCTCCGGCAGAGGAAGGTGAGACCAGGAAGAGTGTCAAATCCTTGTCCTCCAGAAGAGCCTCACAGCCTCTCTCAGGCCACAGGCACCCCTGGATGGCAGTGCAGACTGTCCAGAGCACTAGGCAGTGGAGGGCATGCCCAAACTGGCCCTCAAGAGCCAAGGTGGCGCAGTGGTTAAATGCAGCACTGCAGGCTACTGCTAGATCAGCAGGTCAGTGGTTCAAATCTCACCAGCTCAGGGTTGACTCAGCCTTCCATCCTTCTGAGGTGGGCAAAATGAGGACCCGGTTTGTTGTTGGGGGCAATATGCTCTCTCGGTAAACCGCTTAGAGAGGCCTGGAAGGCCTATGAAGCGGTATATAAGTCTACTGCTATTGCTATTGCTATTGCTCAAGCTCCCAGGGCACCGGGAGCCAACAGCCCAGCCCAGCTGGCTTCCCTGAGGGGGTGTCTAGCTGCGCTTACCTCCTCAAGGCTGCTGCTGCTGTTCTTGCTCACCTTAACCAGGTTACTCATAGTTTGTGCGGAAGGGCAGTGTGTGTGGCTCAGAGCCCATTCCCTCTCCATGCAGGGAGACCCGGCTTTGTAACCAAAGCATCCTCAGTGATAAGATGGGAGACCACCAGGAGAGGTCAGGAGGATGAGACAAGGAGATGGCAAAAGGGCAGCAGGACTGCTGGTGGCCAAGTACTAAGCAGGACTTCCCTCAGACCCCACCTCCCTCTCATTATAATCTTCCTTCCTTCATTCTCCTTTCTTCCCATCTTTCCTTCTTTTTCTGTCTTTTCCTTTCTCCTTTCCTGTCCTTTCTTGGATGCTCAAATGCAAAAGGGGAAACATTTCTCAATGCCTCATGCTTTGTGATCAAATACCACTTTTGCTAATAGTTTGTTTTTCTAGCACTCTGCCAATGAAAATGGAGTTCGGGAAGGCTGTGCATGGCTGTCCTGAGTTCCATTTTCGCTGGCAGAGGCACTGTGGGCCGGTCCTTCATTGTTTCCAGGGTGGCCCTGTGGGCCAGATCTAAGCATCTATTAATCATAGATTATCTATACACAATATAGATAATCCACGATTTGCAACCATTCACTTAGCGATCATTTGAAGTTACAATGGCACTGAAAAAAGTGACATGGCCATTTTTCACACTTAGAACCATTCCAGTATCCCCAGGGTGATGTGATCAAAATTCAGATACCTGACACTCGCATGCATTTATGAAAGTTGCGGTATCCCAGGGTCATGTAATCACCTTTTGCAACTTTCTAACAAGCAAAGTCAATGTGGAAGTCAGATTCACTTAACAGCCATGTATCTAATTTAACAACTTCAGCAAGATCGTAAAATAGGGCAAAATTCATTTAACAACTGTCTTGCTTAGCAACAGAAATTTTGGGCACAATTGTGATCATATGTCAAAGACTACCCATACTAACCTTGGAATGTAGATATATCATGTGCAGAAACCACGGAGAAGAATTATTAATTCATTAATAATTAAGTAATATACTACTACTATAGTATACATACTTTTCATTGCCGCTGCGGGGCCCAACAGCACGAACAGTTTTCTGAGTTCTATGGAGGAGAAGAATATCTTCCTGTTCTAGCTCATCATCATCCCAGCGACGACAGCCCATTGCTGAACATATATATTTTACCTGGGGCCAGAAGGAAATATTTAATTCAACAGACTCTTAGTTGCTGATATTTTTATTAATAAAGCAGAAGTTCTGACAATTCACGTTCTATTTCATTTTTATAATTCAATTCAGAAAGTAAAAATTTATTCCCCAAGTTATAAATAAATGGTGCTTCATTTGGAGCAAATCTAAAATTAAGGCGCTCTCTCTCACAACCACACACTCCAGTACATTTGAGAGAAAATGTTTTTTGTTTTTAATACAAATCATGTTGGTAGTTACTGAATTATGTAAGTGAAATAAATTAAACATGCTATTTGTAATATGACTGAAATTGGCAAAAGCCCAGCCAGCTTTTACAAAGTTTTATAAAACCTTACCAGATAGGTTGGCTATAAATCAGGGATAGGTTTCTACCGCTGTTGGTACTGGTTCGCTTCGCTTGCACACCAGACAGGCACAGTTCACTTTAAATTGTTCTGTGCATACGCGAAGACCATGAAAAACTAAAAAATATGCCAGCAATGGCAGTGAAGACTGGGGAACTGGTTTGGGAGCTTGGCCAGCGTGGGTCGCTGCCGGTTCTGCGACCCAGGCCAAATTATCACTCCCAGTTTGCTTGAACTGGTGCAAACTGGTAGCAACCCCCTCTGCTATAAACTATTTCAAGACAATTTTAAAAACCCATAAATATAAAGTGTCAAAATTCTGTTGCCAAAATTGTGATTATTTTACCTTTCCTGAATATGAACTCAGTCCATATGTTGTTCGGGACTTTCCTCCAACTAGAACGACATCATCCCCAAATCTGTAGGATGATTCAAGAAGTGACTCAACAGTGAATGGAACAGCTTCAATGTTCTCTCTATCACGATCCCACTGGAAAAGATCTCCATCCAAGGAGGGAATTATCATTTTATTCCCAAACACCTACAAAATATTAAAACAGAAGTATACATTTTAATATGGAAAAAAAGAATATTATGATCAAAATACAGAGATTTAAAATCAAATGAAATCCAGATCAATAGAAAAATGCCACAATAGGAACTCATAAAGTTATTTAACTAATGAATATCCACAATTGTGCATTGATCCATGTTCCTTTTCAAAGTGACTACATTCTATGACATAATCATTTACTTCACTTATAGTAAAATCAGCTAGATAAACTGACTTCTAAGCTAACTTGTTTATCTGTGCCTATCTCTGTCAGATTATCTCACTATTTTTATCTGCTCTTTTCTCAGTAAACCATTCAAGGATTGAAAATTCAATTTTGATGTAAATCAAGGTTGTAAGGCATGTTAAGTTTATAACAATAGATTATAAATGTACCTCATCATTTATTTAAAAACAGATTTAAATAATTTTTGATTTGGTGGAAAATCATAATCAGTAATTTCCTGAGAATGAAAGGTATTGTGAACTCTAATGATATACATGAGACTATGAGAAAAAGAATGGAAGACTTCCTTGTTGTGGAAAGAATGATTTGGGATTCAAACTGGTAAATTTTAAACAAGTTGATTACAGTTTGTTAACAAGAGTTTTGGAATTTCAATCTTCCCATTTTTCACTACTTTTATATTTTTATATAATATCTCATTATTGTTGTTTTCATTAACTATTTTGTTATAGTATGGTTTATAGATTATAGGCTAATAATGTGTAGATTTAATAGTTTAAAATTCTTTTTTTTTAATTTAAAAATTCTTTTGGCCTGTTATGCAAGTGATGGAAAACCAACATTGCTGTATTATATTTTTACGTTTTTGTTGTTTTTAAAATTATTTTGTCCTTTTTAAATATTTTGGTGTTTAGTATTTTAATCTTCTTTGAATAAACTAAAGTCCCCCCTCCCCAAAGGAAGTGTTTCTTATACAAAACTGAAATGTGTGTTCATTTTGCATTTTTAAAATAGCAGACCTGATGTTTTTCTACAAATCACTTTCAAAGCTAAAATATGTAATTTGTAGGATTGTTATTCAAAAAAATATATATAAGCCCCTTCAGGATATAGAATAGTTTGACATAGTTCTTAGATCTCAGCCATTGTTTTTTCCAGAAAAAAGAAAAAATTTGCTGCAGAGATCCACTGCATTTTGAACCAAATATAAGGAAAGGTCTTGTTCTAAAAGATAAAAAGCCACATGTAGCAGGAATAATGAAAAAAGGAACAGAATTCCAAGGATAGATAATTATATAACAATTTGTGATCAACATGTGCATGGGACCATGTCATTTACCTAATGAAAAATTTCTAACATGGCATAGATGCAACAGTTTGAATGAAATATGAAACATCTAAACAAGTCAAACTTGGGAAAGAATGTTTTAAGTTAAATAATTAATTTAACTTACTGTATTTTTTGGAGTATAAGACGCACTTTTCCTCAAAAAAGAGGCTGAAAATTTGGGTGCCTCTTATACATCAAATACAGCATTTTTTGCTTCCCAAAGCCACGCCCACTTCACAAAAATGGCCATGCATACTCTTATGGAAGCTTTCAGAGAGCTTCTGAGGGCTGGGGAGGGCAGAAATGAGCAAAAAACAGGCCTTTTTTGCATCCTCAGCCCCCAGCAGCATTCTATAAGCCTCCATAAGGCTATACATGCAATTTTTTGACAAAAAATGGGGCGTTTTGGGGAAGGTTGCAGAGTGCAAAAACTTTTTTTCCCATTTGAGAAAGCTCTTTAACTGATTGATGAGAATTACATTGATCAAGTGCTGTGCCAGCAGAAACAAAGTGTTAGGTGCTACAGATTGTCAATGATTTCCTTCTCCAGCACATGGTTAAATACAACTGGAAACATCTACCTACCTACCTCCTCTGTCTCTCTCTCTCTCCCTACCTACCTACTGTATTTCTCTCTCTCTCCTTCTATCTACCTACCCCCCTCTCCCTATCTATCTATTGTATTTCTCTTCCTCTCTCTATTTCTCTCTCTATCCCTTTACCTACCAACCTACCTACTATCTCTCTATCTCTCCCTACCTATCTACTGTATTTCTCTCCCCCCCTCTCTCTATTTCTCTCTCCATCCCTCTACCTACCTACCTATCTACACACACACACTCTCCCTACCTATTGTATTTCTTCCCCCTCTCCCTTTATCTACTTACCTATCCACCTAACTACTCTCCATACCTACCTACTGTATTTCTCTCTCTTTCTCTCCCTCTCTATCCCTCTACCTACCTACTTTTTTTAAAAAAATTGCCTCTTCAAAACCTTGGTGCATCTTATACTCTGGTGCGGATTATACTCTGAAAAATACAGTAATTGTTAGGTAAAGCAAGTTAAAAAAGGTCAGAAATATGTAAAAAGATAAATAAAAAAATAATTATCCACTTTAATACATGCAAGCAATATTCACAATGGTTCCATTGTATGTGTATTATCTCTTCACTGAAACTACTGATGTCTTAAGAAATGAACATGCTACAAAGTAAGTATCTCTACAGGTAAACCTTAAATTATGACCACTCATCCAGCAGCTATTCAAGGTTACAGCACTATATGAAGGGGATTTATGAGCAGTCTATAAATCCCAGTACCTGGCTCTCATATATTACAAAGAGCTTCAGTCAAGTGATTACAGGTGTTGTGATGTTCCTTACTGGCTTTCCATAAGTATAGTCAATGGGAAAGTTGGTGTAAAGTTAGAAATGGTCAAGCAACTGCCACTTTTTCACCCACTCACCTGGGACTCTGCCTCTTCCTGCTTAATAACCTAAATGACCTTGGCAACCAAGATTGCATTTCTAAGTGTTACAGTCACATGACATCATATTTTACCACTCTGCAGCTTAGCAACAAAAATTCTGATATCAATTAACTAAACACAAACAAGCCAGATACCAATATTTAAAAATAAGCAAGTTTAGAACCACTGAAGAAGCAAAATGGCAGAGGTCAAGAAATAAATCTGGAGAGTTTTAGTTCAACACACAATAACTTTATATTGCATAAATGTTAAGAGTTTATTTCTAAAACTGAGTACAGATTATCATTAAGGATGTTAATTAAGGTTAAGATTATCATTAAAGATTAGGATATCTAAGCATATTCTATTGTAAGTATTTTTAATCCTTTCACATATTTAACAAAAACAAGCAGATTATGTATCATGGCATTCACCTTGATGTCCAAAACACCCACCCACCCACCCACCCCCACACACACAGTGTAATATGTTTCCACAATCACTCCAATAAAGTTTTGAAAGAACTCCAAATTGGTAATATAAATGGTTTTTGAGAATGTTTGTTGTTTCAAAATAGTTACAATTGATCATACTCTGAAAGTGAATTAGGAATTCTTGAAAACCTAGATTAAGAATTGAAGGGATTATACTGTTACTCCTGGTTAATATAAATTAGTGTTAGAGCTAATGTATAGTTCTAAAAGAAAAAAAGTAATTCTAGACTTTATTAACAAGACAAGAATTCATTTGCATGACCATTTGTAATTTTCCTCCTTATTCATGGTAGCAAGAAATGAAATCATTGTAAATCCAAAAGACTAAAAAAATGAAAATATTCTCATTGAAAGAATAAGAAGATTGAAATTCAACTACTCTAAGGAACAGCAAGGAATTGTGACTAGTTATGGAAATGACATTATCCTCTTTCCGTTTGTCTTTAAACATTACCTCACCTCCTATTGCAAGAATGAATCATTTGGAGTTATCCTAATTCATGGAATTTAAGCTATGTTAAAGTTGTTACATATATTAAGTTATTCAATGTCAATAAAAGGAAAATTCATAATTAATATTAGTAGCAAATTATGCAAAGTGAGTATCCTCAAGTTTCCCACATGATCTCCACAAAAAAGTAATACTTATATTTCATATAAAATGGGGACTTGTAATTTAAAAGCTTGTTAAAACATAAACTTATCTAACAAGTATTTGCAAACTGTCAAGAAGTTGGAGCACATTAGAAAGATTTACAGCAATTAGACCTTGCTTAAGCAGCCTAATTCAGTTTGTTTAATTTTCACGTTTTAATGGGAAACTGAATCCATGATGTGGATTCAACAAAGTTTATAGAGAAAAACTGAAGTCTACATAAAGATAGCTGGAGAGCACAAAATGTAGAAGAGGTTTCAGCAATTAAATTACTTAATAGAATATGATGGTTTGCATTAGACATTTTTGGTGAAAGTGCATTACAGGTATTCCTTGCTTAAAAACTACTTTTCAGTGATCAAAGTTATGAACAAGCTGAAAAAATAACTTTACAGTCAATTTACAACATTCACAGCATCCCTCAGTGATGCAATCATCATTATAATTAATACAAGTTGTCATGCATCTGACCTGGGTTTTTTTCTTCTTCCCATCCTCCACTTAAAGACAGAAAGATTGGAGAAAAAGGGATTGTCAAGGGAAAAAATGTTGCTCTGTCACACACTGAAAACAATGGGATTGTATTGGAAGACCAGGGCTAGGAGCTGCAGGCACATTGCAGAAACAACTTATCTTGACATATTTTTGATTTTTGTAGGTAATCTGTCCTATGCCTAATCCTGATCAAAGATTGTTTACAGAAATTGTTTACTCCCCTTGTACCTCTCATGCTCCCCTTGCACCTCTCATGCAATCCTGCACTTTATCAGATTTCCAATCAAGAATCTTTAGGAATGAGATCTACATTCCCAGCATTCCTGGTACTTCCAACTAGAAGAGGCGAAGAAATATCACAGTGTAATCCCTTCCCTAAAAATTCTAAAAATCAGTGATTAAACACACTAATCTTACCTCCGGTTTACTAAGACTAGATGAAACAAGAGAACCTGATCCCACGTCCAGATCCCACTGTTTTCTACCACTGTTTTCTGGATCTAAAGCAGCAATCCGTCCATCCAAAGTACTTATAATTATTAATGATCTGCAAATAAAAAATATGTTCATAAGAACCAAAAATCCAAGATATACCTAACAATAATCTGTAACCAATTTTTCAATTTATTGCTGTTTCCCCCCCAACTTTATTGCCATTTTCTTAACTTTTTCTTTTCTTAAAAACAATTAAAAAGAAGCAATGGTATCAACGATATTGCCTACTAAAACCAGAGTGATGCCTAAAAAATGTTGAGTTATATAGAGATAATTTTGTAACCTCAAATGCCTACATGCATGTAAAGCTACAAATTGGATATGTGCCAATTTTCTTAATGGCAATTTCTTCTTCCTAGTGTTTCCTCTAATAACTTAATCACATAGAAATATTTAATTTATACAAATTGTGCTAATGTTATTCTGTCCTTTCTATTAGTTTGCACTAAAGGTTTATTTCCTCGAAAGCAACTTCCAATAGTTTAGAATTAATGCTAGTTTATTTATTTAGCATTTCATTAATCATACCGTAAGAAAATAATTTATTTGAACAATTATAAGACAATCTTAATCATATTCTTTCCAAGGATAAAATATTCAGAGCAAGAATCAAGATTTATGCATTATTCATAAAATACACCACAGTATATGGTACAGTGGAGCATTCATAGTTTAATTTCAAATAAATCTGCTATGACTGAACTTCAATAGGCTGGGTATGTGTAATGTAAACATTTAAGGCCTTGCTGAATTTAAACCAGGACTAATAACTGGCCCCACAATCATTTGTTACTTCAGATTCAATAGGGAAGAATGTTTTAGAATGAGCAGGACCTGGAATAAATTTAATGAGCTTGTTTGGGATCATTATACAGATACAGATCATTCTTGACTCACTACTGGTCAGTTAACAAGTTAACTTTTGTCTGAAATCACAATAGGTCAGAACAGACCCATAAAGCACTTCTGGCCATTGTAAAATGCCAAAATGTCATGCTATATTTCAGATGCTTGCCTTTATGACTAGCTGTGGTGGTCACATGACTATGATTCACAATGTTTTTGACATTTTTCTGGCAAAAAGGTCCATTCAGAGGAATGGGTTTGCACTTATGACTTGTTTATTTAATGACCATGATGATTCATTTAAAGACCATTGCAAAAGAAGTAAAATGAAGTTCATGTGGGTGCATTAACTTATGATAATGGCTTACGACCCCAAATCCAATCCCAATTGTAGTAATATGTCAATCACTACTTGTAGAGCTTTCTTATGAACCATTTGTTCAGTGACAAGTTACAATAGCACAGAAAAAAAACTTATGATAGGTCCTCACACTTATGACACTTCAGCATTTTCAGTCACATGATCAAAATTTGGGCATTTGATGAGCTACTGCAGTTATGATAGTTGCAGTATCTCTGTCATGTTCTCCTTCCCTGAGTGAACTGTCTCCTCTTCAACTCTCACCCCAACCTATTTCCTCTCCCTATCTCTGTCTTTTTTTGTCACCTGTACAGTTTGGCCAAGATGAAGCCACTGCTGTACTCCGCCACCACCCAGCTGCCAGCCCCATCAGACCTTGTTCCCCCCTTTACACTTTAGCACATCTTTTTCCTCTGCATCTGCTTCACTTTCTCTCTGCTGGGCCCATTGTCAGTAATGGACTCACCTCTCAATGTTATCTACTTCCCCAGCAGCTGAGTTCCTGATAAGCCCGACCCACATTAGCAGTCTCAGCCTGCTCCTTCTAGGATCATAGAAAGTACTCCCTGGAGTGGTGGACACCAAGGGGAAGAGTAATAGCAAACTCAGTGCAGATTAGACATGATAGATATTGAGGGAAAGGAAGAAGACAATGACAGCTGCACATAGAAAGTCAAGTGGGAAGCTACATTGGGGACAGTGGTGGTAGCAGATTACAGCAGAATATAGTGGCATCTTCATCTCACCTGTGCTGTGCAGGATGGCCAAAAGAGCACAAATGGGGAGGAGGGAGATAGCAGGATGTAGGAAATTGAAGCAGAGGCAGTTTGCAAAGGGCAAGAGAAGGAGGTCAGCCTCTTTTGGCTCAGTGATTTTCCTAAAGCATTCCCTGTCTTGGAAGAACTGAGGCTCAGGGCTTGGAAAAACCAAGCTGGAAATGGCTTGAATTGAGGTGGAAGGTGTCAAGCGTTTGCAACCTTCCTAGCAAACTTCCCATTAGCAAATGGGAAAGATGACAGGAAGTCACAAATCATAGTCACAGGAGGTCCTCACCTAATGACAGAATTGGTCCTGTTTAATAACTGTAACTGTGATTGCCATTGCTAAGTCGCTTGGTTATGTGATGCTTCACTTAACTACTGCTTCACTGATGGAAACTCCAGTTCCAATTATGGTGTTTAGTCAAGGACTAATTGTAGAAGTTTCTTCCAGAATCATACAACTGCTTTAAAGAAGTTTTCACTATAGTTATACAATCCTAGAAACTAACATGGCTGCTTTAGTAATATAACAGGGCTGCATTTTTGTTTGCATCCATGTGTTACAAATCATTATCCTACCAATAAAATCTGAAGCAGTGAACAGTCCTAATTGGCAATTTAAGGCTTCAGGCAAGCAGACAGACTAGGGATCAGCTAGAGGCAGCCTGACTTCTGAATCGTGGTAATATGAGCTACCCCATCACTATTTAATACATTAGAACGGAATAGAATAACAGAGTTGGAAGGAATCTTGAAGGTGTTCTAGTCCAATCCCCTGCTTAGGCAGGAAACCTTACACCACTTCAGATAAATGGATATCCAACATCTTCTTAAAAATGTCCAGTGTTGGAGCATTCACAACTTCTGGAGGCATGTTGTTCCACCAATTAATTGTTCTAATTGTCAGGAAATTTCTTCTAAGTTCCAAGTTGCTTCTTTCTTTGATTAGTTTCCACTTATTGCTTCTTGTCCTACACCCAGGTGCTTTCGACAATAGCTTGACTCCCTCTTCTTTGTGGCAATCCCCGAGATATTGGAACACTGATATCATGTCTACCATAGTCCTTTTCATTAAACTAGACATGCCCAGTTCCTGCAACCACATTTCATATTTTTTAGCCTCCAGTCCCCTAATCATCTTTGTTGCTCTTCTCTGCACTCTTTCTATAGTCACAACATCTTTTTTTACATTGTGGCAACCAAAACTGGATGCAGTATTCCACGTATGGCCTTACCAAGGCATTATTAAAGTGGTATCAACACTTCACATGGTGTTGATTCTATCCCTCTGTTTATGCAACCTAGAATTATGTTGGCTTTTTTGGCAGCTGCTGCACACTGCTAGCTTATATTTAAATAGTTGTCCATAGGACTCCAAAATCACCCTCACAGTTACTACTATTGAGCAAAGTACCACATATACCTGTGCGTTTAGTTTTTCTTGCCTAAATGTAGAACCTTACTTTTTTCACCATTGAATTTCATTTTATTAGATAATGCCCAATGTTCAAGTTTGTCAAGACCCTTCTGTATTTTAAGCCTATCTTCTGGAGTATTGGCTATTTCCGCCAGCTTGGTGTCATTTGCAATTTGATGAGTTCCCAATCTATCCCCTTGTCCAAATCATGAAGATGTTGAAGAGTCCTGGGCCTAAAACAGAGCCTTGGGGTACTCCACTGCATACTTCCCTCCATGTAGATGCAGTTCCATTGAGGACTACACGTTGAGTGCGGTTGGTCAGCCAGTTATGAATCCACCTGGTGGTGATGCTATCTAAGCCACATTCTTCTTCTTTATCTAGTAGTAGGTTATGGTCCACCTTATCAAATAGCTTATTGAAGTCCAAGTAAAATATATCAACGGCATTCCTCTGGTCCACTAATTTTGTCACATTATCAAAGAATGAAATAAGATTAGTCTGGCATGATCTGTTTTTGACAAAGCCATGTTGGCTTTTGGCTATTGGATTGGATTGGATTTATTGGATTTATATGCTGCCCTTCTCCCAAGGACTCAGGGCGGTATACAACATTAAAAAAAACACATATTACAAAAGTTAAAAAAAATTAAATAGAATATCCCAACCCCAAAAAAAAAAAAACAATTAAGATTAACAAGAACATTTTTTAAAAAAT